TCCGAGAGTCTTGGGCACTCTCTTCGTCATCAGTGGGGCTCCCCCCTGGCATGCGGCCGGCTGCACAAGTCCACGCCGGATTCTCTGACACTCGCAACACTCTTGGGGCCGGTCAGTCCCTCAGGAACTCGCTACGCGGCAGCAAGCAGTAGACTTGACCCCACTCACTCCGTCGCAGCCTGGCCTAATACCGACTCATCTCCCAGGGGAGCATTCGGCATCCTTCCCCGGGGGGCTTTCACGCCATCCCGCTTGCCTGACGGACTTCAACCGCTATTCTCTCACCGGTGAGTGTGGGCTCCTCGCCGTACCAACGTCCGCCAATTCGCATGGGCCTCTCTTCGGCCCGACTCGTTTCGTTGCCTCCCACGGCGTACCGGTGCTCGCGGCCCTCCTCCGTGAGGCCAGCTTCGGGTAGCACTGCTCCGTAACTTCAGACAACCCGACGGGCCCCTGCCCATACCACCAGCTGAGTTGAATTCGGGTTTGCGGGCTGAATGGGCTACGAGTTCGTAAAAAGTCCCTCAACCCATAAAAAGCTGACGGCAGGGCCGGTCGGACCCCAATTTCATCTCAGGGACTGAGACACGACGGGTGTAACTGAGCTGTCGTCTTTGGCCTTTCTGATGCGGCACCCAGCTCACCACGCGGGGTGGGCTCAATATCGGGGTTTTGGTGTGTCAAAATGTAGTGGGGACATTGGGGGTGCCCTTTGAAGCACACACGGACGGCAGAACAGAGTCCAGGGGCGACTATGTGCCTCGACAGCTAAACTTCGGCCGGCGCACTTGCCAGCATTTGTCACCCAAAAAGCGGCCTTTTAGTTGAAGTAGCGTTTTTGGGGACGAGGAAAGGCGGTTGCCGTTTTTTTCTTCTTCTCGATCACTCGTTTCAGATGAAAGGAGTTTGCTCGACGGAGCCACGTCGAGAGGGATCGGTGGCGGCCTTGGCCGCGATTCTGGACCCTGAAGGTAACTTCTGTGGCACTGGTGGTTGCTCATTTGTGGCTGCCAATGTGTCTATGAAAATTAGGCAGGAGAGGCTGAACGCATTCATCAAGCCATTTATACCCAGTGGCATGATGTCGGAAACTTTCAAGGTAGTGGTAGCGGTGCCTGAGGGTAGCCAAAGCGTGATTGTACCCACAAAAATTAATAGCTTACAACTAGCGATCAAGTCGCGAAAAAATCAGCGCAAGTCCGCTGCGTCTTTGAGTCAATTTGTTCGCATTCTAGCTTGCACCGTTATAAACACACATACTCCCACGCCAATAAAGACATACGGGAGGGATCGTGTGTTGCAACTAGAAGAGGAGATCGTGAAAAGAATGGCAGGTGAGTTCTATCCGAAAATTGTGGAATATGAGAATGCTTTGTCCGAACAAGAACGAGGGCTTATGTTGACTTCGGAACGAGGGGACATTCGCGTCTCGGGACTCCTGGACATCAAGGAGAGCGAGCTCGAAAGCTATCTCACGTCCTCCCCGAAGATAGGCAACGAGAAAGCAGCAATTCGGGAAGATGCAAAGGTGAAGCACCCAGAACTCGATGCTCTAGATGGGCTGTCAGCAGATGAGCTGGCAACAAATGAACCGAAGGGTGCGCCTAGCGCTGAAGTGTATGACGATGAAGTGTATGACGACGACATATCCGATGCCGGGAACGAGAAGGAGCCGAAGAAAGAGGATAACTTTGAGAAAGAGAAGAACACAGAAGCGTGCAGCCCACAAGAAAGAAAGGGCTGAGCAAACGCGGCAACGTTTTTTTTGTCAACAAGTCGCCCTTTGTCCCAGTGGCTTAAGAGGGTCTTGCGTGACCGGACGGACGTAGGGCTCACGGGTGCACCATTTTGCTCGCCGTTTTTTCGACTAGAGAGAAGTGGAATCTTGCTTCGTTTGTTTCGTCCCGACTGTCTCGGTTGGGGGATTCGGTCTTCATCGTCGGGCCTGTTGGGTGATGCACGTTAGATACTTCTTGGCGAAGTTGCGGGCGTCATCATTTCACCAGAAGTACTTCGCTAATCGATTGTATAACCTTGATGTTCCCCGACGTTGGAGAAGTGGAAGTAGAAGAGCGGCGCAACGTGTCAGGTACGAGGTTGCCTATTCTGTAGAGCATACTGACGAAAATGTTGTCGCTCGCCGTTGACGTAGTCGTCGCGCGAGGGGAACGTTTCTTCAGGTGTGAGCATATACGGGAGCATGTCGGCGTGCGAGGCGAGGACACATCGAGCGTCGATGTCCTCATCCAGTTTGCTAAACTGCATGCTCCTGGTGAAGATGTCTACGTGTTCTTGGTCCCGGCCGGCGGGGCCACATTGAACTGGAATTCTTGGAGGAACATCGGCCAGCGTGCGAGTTCTCGGTGTTCCAGAGAGGCTTTAATGCTGACGGACGTTACATCAGAAACGGAGGGTTGCTGCTGCCTGCTGCGTAGACCGGCCAAGGGTACCGTCGGTAGTCCGGAGAACGGCCGGCACAATGACGGTTGGAATGGTGTGAGTAGATGTCCGACGCCCAAGTATTCGAACTCGGACAGGCCGAAGTGGCCTTTACCGATGTTGTGGAATACCCACGGTCTCACAGCCTCTGGACTACCCCCAAAGTTGCTCACGAGTGACGGTCATGAATCACCGTAAATAATCAATGCACCTGTTTCCACAGAGGAAAGATTCGGGAAAAAATGGCTGATCATCCTTGGTCGCTTAGATGGGGCAACAAGCAGTCAAGGAGATTCTCGGGGTTAAAGGGATTCTCGGGGTTAAAGGACAGGCAGAATACCTGGGGGAGAAGCTTAATGGATGACAACGCCATCCATAGTTTGCAGTGCATGGGTCCCGCGCATCGGTAGTATTCCGTTGCTTGTTCTGTTGCACGTCCTCAGCTAATAAGCCTCGTACGCTTCGTCAAGTTCGAATGCCACCAGTGCATCCCCAAGGAGGGTGTTGCCCAGGGTTGAGTGTTCGGGATCCTGATCAGTGGCCTTTCCCTGGACGGCGCCTAACTACTGAATTGCGGGAAGAATCCGATACTCCGAGACAGCACGAAATCCATCCGGGAAGAAATTAAGGTGATCTTCTCAGGACTGAGCCGGCTGATGATGAAATACCGGCTGCCGACGATGACGAGTCTAGACGTGCTCTCTCGACCCATCCACCTGTGTTTCGGTGCTCACCGTGCAGCACGCCACCCTGAAGTTCCTTTGACAATTGACATTTGGTGACTGACTGTCATCAGCAGTGGCTTCAAGGGGTTCTCCGGGTGCAAGTATTTCTCGGGAGTTTGCCCAGTCGTACTTGTCGAATCGTACTTAACGTATTTTTTTTTGGAGCGGACATTGGATTTGTGCTCGTCCTCGGTAAAAGATTATTTCTGATTAGGTTGAGAAGCCATCACTGGCCGTAGAAAGACTGTCGTAGACCGCCCGGTTGGGTGGCGTTCATCGTTAAAGATGAGAGGGGGGCTGTTTTCCCCGATGGTTGTTTTTTTGGGATCTGGCTCTCTCTCTCTCTTCGCCGTGAGACAAGACAGTCTTTTTTTTTTCTCAGACCACCCTCCCGCCAAATTGAGTACATGAAAGGAATTTGCTCGACGGAGTCGAGTGGCGCCCAATTGGCGGCGACATTTGCCGCGATTTTGGACTCTCAAGGCAACTTCTGTGGCACAAGTGGTTGTTCGTTTATGACCGTCAATATGTCTATGGCAGTTAGGCCGAAGAAGCTCGATCCCCGCACCACGTCAGCGGTGACTAAAGCCGCGGAGCTGACGTGTAAAAACTTCAAGGTAGTAATATCATTGCCGAAAGGTAGCGAGTACGTCACTATACCCGACGGAATTAACAGCCTGCAGCTATCAGCCAAGTCACGGACAAATCGGCAACGGTCCGCTGCATCGTTGTACCAATTTGTTCATATTCTGACTGATGTCATTCTACGAAAGCACCCATCAAAAAATCAGACGAAAGCAGTTGATGGGCGAACAACACTGGAAGACCAGATCGTTAGGAAGATTGCAGGTGAGTTTTATCCGAAGATCGCCGAGTACGAGGCTACTTTGACCGAGAAAGAACAAGATGATATGCTCGATTTGAAGCGAGTCTTTAAAATATCTGAACCGGCACACATCCTGAATAGTGAGCTCGAAAGCTTTCTCACATTCCCGCCGAATTCCAAAGAGGCAAAAGAGAGAGACAGCAAGATAGCAATCCCAGAAGACATGGCAGTGGACCCATCAGGACTTCCCTCAACTGCCGATACGCCGGGGGGTTCGCTTGGCACCGAAAACACTGGGGACGAGAAGTTCAGGAGGATGGCTAATACAGTACTGGAGATGCTAAAGAGTCCAACCATGAGGAAGAAGATAAGCCCCTGAAAGATAAGAAGAAAAAGCCAAGAATGAGGAAGAAAATAAGCTCCTGAAAAAGAAGAAGAATGACCGACCGACCCTGTTAGTGACTGAAACACGTCTGCTAGAATCATAAGGGGTCGTTGGTCAGACAGAGCAACTAACCGCACGTGTTCGGGTACAGCAAACCATGAGATTCACGATTTGTTGTGTATGTGGTCAGCCCGCTATGTTCGAGCTGATCCAGTAGAAGCTCTGCGTAGTGAGTGACCACACGCCCTGACTAGTCCAACGACCTGCCTGCCTGACCGACTTGTATTTTTTTACCAACTTACTCCGCAGCTAAACTTTTACAACTAGCAAACTTTGATGTGTAAGATGTAATGGTGAGCGTAAGTTGTCACAAATTGACGCGCGTGCTCGACGGTCGACGCCGCCCACTGTTGGCCTTTTAGGGTCACGTTTGTGAAAAGATTGTCGCATGTTCGATGTCCCGTCATATCCGGGCCGGAAGGCTATCAAAGTTGAGTCAGTCCGGTCATAGAGGTTTGGCGACCTTGCTGTAGCCATAGTGCTTTCGTTGTGGGACGGGACATAACAACCTTTTTTGGTGATGGATCTCCTAAGTCGCGTACATGACCCCCAGCGCACGCTGCGACGTGGTGGATTGAGTTTGCTAGCTCAATGAGGTGCCAAAAGGGAACGTGAGATGGAATTGCGGTCCGACCGGCCCTGCCGTTAGCTTTTTATGGGTTGAGGGACTTTTTACGAACTCGTAATCTATTCAGCCCGCAAACCCGAATTCAACTCAGTTCTCAACGACTGAGACTTCCTAGCAGCTTAGCTCAATGAACGCCACGATGTCAGCCAATTACTTACTCTCCTCCATCTAGAGCCGAAATTGCTTCTGTGCCTCCCTTATGTCTACAGCAACTCACCTGAACCTCTTGTAGTAGTGGTTACCGGACCAGGCTCCTCAGCCGTTATGCCGGGCGAGTAAAATGAAAACTGTATAGGATGACTGACCGTAGCTTATCGCGACCGGGGAACCAAATCCGAAGCATCGCACGCACGTCCATCCATCCGCATCCCATAAGCCAGTCCATCACCTGTGCTGTTGAGTCGTGAAGGAGATGACCGTAAAGGAGATGACCGTAAAGGAGAGGTTCGTGTTCAGCACTCGTTACGCCAGTTCCCGAAGAAGCTCCCTCAAACAAAGGCAGAAGACTCCGTACTGGTAGACGAAGGCCGCGTACATCTTGCCGATCTTAGACCCAAAGTGCTAGGACGGCGATTATTCTTTGCCCAATATCATGCCGCCAATATCATGCCGCCAATATCATGCCCGTGGTGACGGCGTTGCGTTTTCATTCTGGGATATCAAACTGAGAGGGTATGTGTGAGTACGAATAACGAAGAGTGTTAACTGATTTTTACTTATACCAATCCGACTTAACTCCACACGGCCGGCTTCCCCTCTATCAGCTGCACATCAGTATGCCAATATAGCGGGACCAACCGGACCACACCGCTTCTACGTCGTCCTTCTACCCGTTTCGAAC